TTAACTTTGTCTGAATCATGTTAGCAATTGCCACATTTTATGAAATCTGGCAAATGGATGTCAAAACTGCATTTCTTAATGGATTTCTTAAAAAAGAGTTGTATATGATACAACAAGAAAGTTTTGTCAATCCTAAAGGTGCTAACAAAGTGTGCAAGCTCCAGCGATCCATCTATGGACTAGTGCAAGCATCTCGGAGTTGGAATATACGCTTTGATGAGTTGATCAAAGCATATAGTTTTATACAGACTTTTGGAGAAGTCTGTATTTACAAGAAAGTGAGTGGGAGCTCTGTAGCATTTCTGATATTATATGTGGATGACATATTGTTGATCGGAAATGATACTGAATTTCTGGATAGCATAAAAGGATACTTGAATAAGAAATTTTTTCAAAGAAAGACCTCGGTGAAGCTTCTTACACATTAAGCATCAAGATCTATAGAGATAGATCAAGACGCTTGATAAGATTTTTCAATGAGTACATACCTTGACAAGATTTTGAAGTAGTTCAAAATGGAACAGTCAAAGAAGGAGTCCTTGCCTGTGTTGCAGGGTGTGAAGTTGAGTAAAGACTCAAAACCCGACCACGGCAGAAAATAGAAAGAGAATGAAAAATCATTCCCTATGCCTCAGTCATAGGTTCTATAAAGTATGCTATGTTGTGTATCAGTCCTATTGTATACCTTAGCATGATTCTGGCAAGAGAGTACAGTAGTGATCTAGGAGTAGATCACTGGATAGCGGTCAAAATTATCCTTAGAGGACTAAGGAAATATTTCTCGGTTATGGAGGTGATAAAAGAGTTCGTCGTAAAGAGTTACGTTGATGCAAGCTTTTTACATCGATCTAGATGACTCTAAGTCCCGATCTGGATACATATTGAAAGTGGGAGCAATTAGCTAGAGTAGCTTCGTGCAGAGTATTGTAGACATAGAAATTTGCGAAATACATACGGATCTGAATGTTACAGACCCATAGACTAAACTTCTCTCACAAGCAAAACATGATCACTCTTTGGGTATTCATCACATAGCGATCTGAACTAGATTATTGACCCTAGTAAATCCTTTGGGTATTAGTCACATGAAGATGTGAACTAATCACATAAAGATGTGAACTATTGGTGTGAAATCTCATGACGATGTGAACTAGATTATTGACTCTAGTGCAAGTGGGAGACTGAAGGAAATATGCCCTAGAGGCAATAATAAAGTTGTTATTTATATTTCCTTATATCATTATAAATGTTTATTATTCATGCTAGAATTGTATTAACCGGAAACTTAGTACATGTGTGAATACATAGACAAACTGAGTGTCATTAGTATGCCTTTACTTGACTAGCTCGTTAATCAAAGATAGTTAAGTTTCCTAGCCATGGACAAAGAGTTTTCATTTGATTAACGGGATCACATCATTAGATAATGATGTGATTGACTTGACCCATCCGTTATCTTAGCACGATGATCGTTTAGTTTGTTGCTATTGCTTTCTTCATAACTTATACATGTTCCTATGACTATGAGATTATGCAACTCCCGAATACCGAAGGAACACTTAGTGTGCTATCAAATGTCACAACGTAACTGGGTGACTATAAAGATGCTCTACAGGTGTCTCCGATGGTGTTTGTTGAGTTGGCATAGATCAAGATTAGGATTTGTCACTCCGTGTATCGGAGAGGTATCTCTGGGCCCTCTCGGTAATGCACATCACTATAAGCCTTGCAAGCAATGTGACTAATGAGTTAGTTACGGGATGTAGCATTACAGAACGAGTAAAGAGACTTGCCGGTAATGAGATTGAACTAGGTATTGAGATACCGACGATCGAATCTCGGGCAAGTAACATACCGATGACAAAGGGAACAACATATGTTGTTATGCGGTTTGACCGGTAAAGATCTTCATAGAATATGTAGGAGCCAATATGAGCATCCAGGTTCCCTATTGGTTATTGACCGGAGATGAGTCTCGGTCATGTCTACATAGTTCTCGAACCCGTAGGGTTCGCATGCTTAATGTTCGATGACAATCGGTATTATGAGTTTATGTGTTTTGATGTACCGGAAGTTGTTCGGAGTCTTGGATGAGATCACAGACATGACGAGGAGTCTCGAAATGGTCGAGACATAAAGATTGATATATTGGAAGGTTATATTCGGACACCGGAAAGGTTTCGGGGGTCATCGGATAAATACCGGAGTACCGGGGAGTTACCGGAACCCCCCGGGGGGTCAATGGGCCTTCATGGGCCTTAGTGGAAATAGAGGGCAGCAAGGGAGCTGTGGGGCGCCCCCCTCCCCTAGGTCCAAACTGAATTGGTTTAGGGCTTGCGGGGTCGGCCCCCTCTTTCCTTCTCCCCTCCTCCTCTTTCCTTCACCTCCTAGTTGGACTAGAAAAGGGGGAACCTACTCCTAGTAGGAGTAGGATTCCCCCCTTGGGGTGCACCCTATGAGGCCGTCAGCCCCCTCCCCTTGCTCCTTTATATACGGGGGCAGGGGGCACCCTAGAACACACAAGTTGACAATTGTCTTAGCCGTGTGCGGTGCCCCCCTCCACCATAATCCACCTCGGTCATATCGTTGTAGTGCTTAGGCGAAGCCCTGTTCGGGTAGCTTCATCATCACCGTCATCACATCGGCGTGCTGACGAAACTCTCCCTCGACACTCAGTTGGATCTAGAGTTCACGGGACGTCACCGAGCTGAACGTGTGCAGATCGGGGAGGTGTCGTTTCTTCGGTGCTAGGATCGGTCAGACCGTGAAGACGTTCGACTACATCAACCGCGTTGTCATAACGCTTCCGCTTACGGTCTACAAGGGTACGTGGATAACACTCTTCCCCTCTCGTTGCTATGCATCACCATGATAGATCTTGCGTGTGCGTAGGAATTTTTTTGAAATTAATGTGTTCCCCAACACTTTTGTCCTACCCTCTCGTGGTAGCGGGGTCCATAAGGAAATCCAAGGGATATTAAGGCCTCCTTTTAATAGAGAACCGGAACAAAGCATTAACACATAGTGAATATATGAACTCCTCGAATTACAGTCATCCCCGAAGAGTATCCCAATTATTTTCACCTTGGGGTCTATGGATCAGAACAATAACAAGTGCATACAACTAGCAGATAGGATCAAGAACTCAAATATATTCATAAAAACATATAGGGTTCAGATCTGAAATCATGACACTCGGGCCTTAGTGACAAGCATTAAGCATAGCAAAGTCATAGCACTATCAATCTCTGAACAAAGTGGATACCAGGAATCAAGCCCTAACAAGTTGACTCGATTACATGACAAATCTCATCCAACTCCATCACCGTCCAGCAAGTCTACGAAGGATTTGCTCACTCCTGGTGGTGAGCATCATGGAATTGTTGATCGAGAAGGGTTGATGATGACGATGGCGACGAATCCCCCTCTCTGGAGCCCCGAACGGACTCCAGATCGATAAGAGTTGGCCGTGGCTCCGTATCATAAAATGTGGCGAAACTTTCTCTCTGATTTTATTCTCTGCGAGACGGTATTTATGGAGTTGGAGGTAGGGCAAACAGAGTCTCAAGGGGCCCACAAGCTCAGGTGGCGCGCCACCTGAGCTTGTGACTTTGTGGCGGGCCCCCTCCAACAGATCTTTTTGTCGGTATTCTTTATATATTAAAAAAATCTCCCTAAATTTTTAGCCTAATTCAAGAACTTTTATTTCTGCACAAAAATAACACCATGATAGTTATGTTGAAAACAGCGTCGGTCCGGGTTAGTTTCATTCAAATCATGCAAATTAGAGTCCAAAACAAGAGCAAAAATGTTTGGAGAAGTAGATACGTTTGGGATGTATCAATCGATAGTAGTGATCAGAAACATAATTGACCCTCGGGTTCTTCAAATACTAGCTATCAAAGAGGCTCTAGCACTGGCAGATGATCTTTACATGAATAAGATGCTTGTTGCCTCGGACTGCAAAGTGGCCATCGATGCTATCAAAGAAGGGAGTTCTGCAAATTTTGGTGGCATAGTTCAAGAAATAGTAGCTAGGGCTAGTAGTTGTTCTTCTTGCACTTTTAGTCGTGAGTTTAGGACCTCAAATGTAGAGGCCCAGAATCTTGGAAACCATGCTTTAACTTTAGGGCATGGCCGCCATGTTTGGTTAGGCCAGCCCGGCGACCTTGTAAATATTATGACGCAGTAATAAAGCTTTTGTGAGATTCTAAAAAAACTCCTGGCCCAGAGGAGCCGAGAGCTAGAGAGGAACCGAACGTACCCTCTCCTTAAAAAAGGTACCGAACATACCTAAATGGCAGGAGACCAAATGGAGGCTCAACCACTTTGCCCAAAAAAATGTATTGTAGTTACTAAGGCTGTAAACCAAAGAACCAATGCCATTGTGCTTTGGTTATGCCAAAAATTTGATAGCACTAGCTAGGGCACAAACCAAATACCCTTGGAGATTTAGAGATAGTGGGAGAATCATCGCCAAAAGCTTAGGCGCCTTAGATAATGGGAGGGGTAGAGTGGAGCGTTTTGGAGCTCGACCTCCATGGAGGCTGGAAAAAAATTGCGTCAGAAGAGGCCGAAATTTTTAGGATGAATAGTGCACATACTAAAAAGCCTCAGATTTGTTTCTGTTTTTTTGTGTAGCACTCGTTTTAACGTATTTTGTCATGATAATTTGCACACTTGTGAGCTCCATTGAGCATTTCGGGAGGGAGTACTATATATCACACCACGGTAGGCCACATACATGATCTTGTTTGCGGAATGGTCAAAAACAGGAACTACATACGACAGGGTTGGTTCACCGAGCCGGCACCTCCCCACCCCGATCTACAAGCATATAGATAACAAAGAAAATGAACGAATGAAACAATGACCAGCTAGAGGCAATACACATCTACTATTTCCACTGTTCAACAACACTCCGATCCGAACAGCCGCGCACATGATCGCATCAGCCAAGAAAGAAACCATGTCCTTTCTTCCTTTTATCCCTGGAGCGTTTACGAGGGAGGGAAGAAGCGGTTGAGGTTGAATGGCAGGCTGTAGAACTCCTCGTTCCTGCTGTCCCCCTTGAAGGAGCGGAAGGGCACCCACCACGGCATCCCGCGGTCCCTGCCAGCGTCCTTCACCTCCAGCGTGTTGTCCAGGAACACGGCCACCATCAGCCCCACCGTCGGCGGCGACGAGAAGATGGTGTTGATGTAGTCGTTGAACTGCATGCAATGCGTACATGTCAGGGCCGGTCACACACAATGTTAAAGTGGAGTTCAGGCACGCCAAGAAGATGTTTTGACCACTACGCGCCATGAGAGAGAGAGAGAGAGAGAGAGAGAGAGACCCATCCAGCTTTAGTGTGCGCAGGACCACGCTGGGCAGCCATGCTGTAGCGGAAGAAGTACTCCGGCACGGACAGGCCAAGGAAGATGGACACGCCGACGATGAACAGGTTGCGCATCGAGTTCATGTTGGTGAACTGCAAGAAGGAGAGCCCCACCGCAGCTGCAGACACACAGAAAAAGCCAACAGCGATTAACCAGACCGTCGTCAATCAAATGCACGTAGTATTCGTAGCAGCAGATGGGGCGTGGTAACCAACCAACTAGTCCGAACAGGACGCAGTACACCGCGGCAAAGATGGTGAACGGGATGGAAGCGAACAGCGCTCCAAATTTCCCTGCACATGATGATGCAAGAGAGAGTGAGAGTTCTCTTCAGGGATACTGTGCTGTTTTTCAGTATAAGAAATCATCATTCTGAAGACAGTTCAGTTCAGATAGCTCACCCAGCATGGAGAAGAAGATCATGAAGCCAGCACAGATTTGTATGACGCGGCGGCTCCCGATCCTCGTTGATCCTAGTAACCCCACGTTCTCCCTGCATTTGTTCCCGACAGTATCAATCAAGGCTGGAAGAAACAGTTTTGTAATGCTTCTTCATATATTATGTGATCTCTTTTGTGCAACGTACACTGAGACAGTGGAGCCGGTCCCTGTTCCAAAGAGCCCACAAAGGAGGATGCCGATTCCCTGTTGCATAGAGCGTTGTTACTCAGCAAATCTCTTGTGGAAGTAAAATTAGTTTTCAGTTTTGAATAGCATTCAGAACTGAGAAGAATAAAACAATCAGGGCTCGAAGATGATATTTACCTGCCACCCGATGCCTCTGCTCAGGATGTGAGCTGGAGGTGGAGTTGCACTTGCAAGCCGAGCTGCAGCGCTGTAAGAAGCTGTGGACTGTTGAACGGAGACGTTGTTAACATCATGACTAAATTGCATAGAAGAAATGGCTGCTGTCAACGAGCAATTAGGGGTGTCACCTCTATTAGCGAGACCAAAACCGCAGACACCATACCGAACGATTGGCCGGCACTGAAGGTTGGTGCCCCCCACTGCAGGGGGTATGGGATCTTAATCCTGGAATAAGGACAGCGCAATCATATCAGTACGAAACTCGACCAAATAATAAGTAATACTCTTTAAAATGGATTATTATTTTTCCAACTGAAGAGCTGATTTGAGAGTTGTATAAATCAAAAAACAGGATGCGCAATGCAGATGAACCATTTTCATGTACACGCAAGAGGTCAAGAAGATTCTAAATTTATATTGGGAAAACTGGCAAAGGGGCTAACCATGGGGCGGAAGAGATCAGATTGGCACGGTCAGTGCGGCAGTTGATCTGAGTGACCTCGGTGCTATGATTATACGCGCCACCAGAAGTGAGAATTTGAGCATACGCCCAGACCAATGCGATACAGATGAACAGGGAGAATCGTTCCAGTATGGGGATCTCTCTTATCTGTACATTCTTCAGATACTGGTAAGAAACAAGAAGGCAGTTAGCAATGCTGAACTTCTAATAAGGACTAATTTTAGTTTAACTGGCAAAGACTTGGATGATTAGGGTTGCTTATCAAACCTGGGAAAGCACAACAAAGAGGATTAACATTGGCAGGCCAACCTCAACGCATCTCCCAACCTGATATACACAATATCAAATAAGTACCAATGCTGAACGAAGTGTCATCTTTCTAAGAAAATGAAGAATCAGGTGCAGAGCAAGCCATACCACAGGGAATCCTCTTTCGAAGAGACCAAAACCGAGCAGCGCAACCACCGGCGCCATTCCCAGTGGACTGAAGAATCTGAAAGTTACACCCAGGCCACACATCCATCAGTAAACAAAACTGAACTAATGTGTAAATGTAGCACGCAACATGTCACTACTAATACAACTAGTACTTGACAGTGTGTGGTGGTACCTGGAGAAAATACCCCAGAGCTGGCTGTAACCAAGGATGATCTGAATGCTGGAGGACACTATGAGCGCCCCCTGTATGGCCCTCATGCTCTGGAGGAACCTCTGCTCAAAGATGATTTTGATTAGACCATGCCGTTAAAGAATTTCTGAATGTGCGGATACTAGAAAGTAAAAGTGAATGAATGATTGATTGGTCACCTCGTGGTCGTCGGGTATGGCCGCGAGCGACGAGTCCTGCACGATGGCCATCACCGGGATGACGAAGGCGTAGGAGCCGCCTATGACCGTCGGCAGCCGCGTCCCGAAGAGCGACTGCAGCAGCGTGTTGATGCCGGTGACGAAGAGCAGCGTCTGCACCACCCTCACCCTGTCTCCCTGCAACCCATCCGAGAACAGCATCAGACATTGTTGGCACTGAAACTTGTGATGCCAGGCGCCAAACCCATGGGGTGGTGTGAATCAAGAAACGCAGAGGCAGGGCGCACTCACGTCGCTCCCGCCCATCATGGGCACCAGCACCGCCGGGATCATGACGGCCGTGCCCAGCGCCAGGATGTAGTGCTGGAAGCCCAGTATGATGGCCTCCCCTGAAGAACACAAGACAAGAGACCACGCCTCAGAGTGGAACACAGACAGAGTAGTAGCTGGAAGGCTCGAAAATGCAGCAAAGCTGGTGGATCAGAAACAAGGTTGGACGGACGGGCGGGCACTCACCCCATGGAGGGTTGGAGTCGATGCAGTACTCGAACCCCTGGAGCTGCTCCATGGCCGGGTGGCTCATCTCCTCCGGCTTCACCTCCGACATCTCCCCTTGCTGGCCTCGCACCGCCGCCGAGAGGAAGAAGAAAGAAAGAAGAAACGCCGCTCCTCTGTACCGCACTCCACAGGGTTGCTTCCCTCCCTGGCTTATGAAGGCAACCACCGCACCGCACGGCGGCCCTGGCGGTGATCCCTTGTGACCGCTCCTTGTCCTCTGGCGGGGGAAGAAGACAACCGGACGGGGGGCTTGCTTCCTCCACCCGCAGCACTCAAGAGCCTCGGCGCACCTTTGCAGGAGCCCCGACGAAATCTGTTGGGGAAAAAGGCTGCGGGGATGATGATGGTGAGCAAGCGAGCGGCGAAGTGCGAACGGCAAGAGCAATCCGCGGCACTACGACGCTAGAGATACTGCGGCTGGCCGCTAGCGTACCGCTACGCCACTGGAGTGAGTCGCCAGCCTTTCTCGTGCCGTCGTGGTGGTGGTGGTGGTGGTGCCTCTCCTTTCCTTTGCCCTTCCCCCTTTTCCTTTTATCCTCGGGAGGCTCCTCCCTCCTGGGCTAAATGCTTTCCGGTCTGTGGAGTGACACTGTTGTGTTCTTCTTCCCCACCCTGCATGCATGATGCATTGCATCCTCCCTCCCGGAGAACCGGCCGTTGGATTTTTGGCTCTGACCAAACTGCCCCCGGCGTTGCGTTGCGTTTCATTACCCTACCGGCCGCTCCTACGAGCCTACCTAGGACAGCCGCATCATAATCTACGCGCTGCACTGTAGGTCTTTCTTTTCTTTTTCCTTTCCCTTTCCTTTGAACCATGTCGTGTCTTCCTTGCCTTTCATCATTTTTCTACTGCTTGACGACCGGACTTTACCCATGAGCCCCCGCCGTAACGTGCGGAGCGCAAAAGGTGGTAGCGGTAAATACTTTCGTGCCGGAGAATACGTCTACGTGCTTTCTCCTCCTATCATTTTTTAAATACTTTCGTGCCGGAGAATACGTCTACGTGCTTTCTCCTCCTATCATTGAGGCATTGACGACTCCTCCCGCCCGGTCAAGGTCCAGGCACGACCGGAAGACCTTTCTTGGCACGCCAAGGGCACTGCATTGCACGCACGTTGTACGTGGGACGTAGTATCATGTATACGTATCATGTAGCCCTCCACTCCTCCGCCCGTTGGAGGGGGAACACCTCCTGATGAAGCCGATGGGACATGCACTCGCTCGGTCCAATTAGATATCCACAGCGCCACCTGACGGCCGCAGGGGATGCTTGTAGTCTTCCCGATTGTTAAAGCGGGCGGGCACGTCGGCTCATGTCCTTGTTTTCTGCCTCGCTCGCAGTAGAATACTGCGCCCGAGATGAGACACCAGCCAGGCCACGGGAAAGGAAAGTTACCGTTGGGTGCGCTGCGGTGTGGCGGTGTGGGGTTGATGATGATGAGATGTGTGTTGTGTTTGGGCTCGTGGCGAGAGAGGAGAGGAGGAGCACATAGCACGGGCAGGCAGCACCAGCGGCCCAGTTGCCTCTGGGGGTGCGGGCGCGTCACCGTGCAAGACGACGCCCCCTCCTCCCGGCCAGCAGCCGGGGCCCCGCGTACGGCCGAAAGCGATCTCATGAGATAGCCTGCTGCTGCACGGACTTCCGTGCAATGCCCCCGCCGCTGCGCCGGTCTATTGTCAGGACCCCGACTCGATGTCACATCGATCTAGTCTGTAACACCTCATATCACTTTGCGGCCTCACGCACGGTATCCCCACAGGTGTCGTCTTACCTTTGCCCGGGACCGTTTGCGCCTTTTGGCTCACGTATATGATAGTGTTGCTAGCATCCATATGATAAGGAGCCCGGTCCATGACTAGTCGTAAACCCAAAGTGGCACAGACTTACAGGGACAGGCATCCATGACCCAGCTTCGAACGTGTCGGTCATCAACAAGTGGGTCCGGGCTGTAGCACTGGGCTAGCAGTACTCCGGTAAACCGGGCTGTAGCGGGTTAACAGGACTCCGGTACTCAATGCGTGACATTTCCCCGAAGGGACAGACACAGGAACGAAGAAGGACACATGCCGGCCAGCCTAAGTGTTCCAGAGCAGTAGCAAGCTACCATGGCTCAGTGGTAACACTAGGAGACATTTCCCGGTAAGAGAGGCTATTAAAGATAAACAACTAGATAGTCAGATCCCACACATACCAAGCATTTCAATCATACACACAATATGCTCGATATGTGCAAATACAACAAGGCATCACAACATGACTCTACGACACAAGTACTTTATTTAAGGCTCAGAGAGCCATACATAACATACACATAGGTACGGGTCACACGACCCAGCATTCAAGTCATACAGTCATACAAACCAGCAGCGGAAGTAACTTGTCTGAGTACAGACAACTAGTAAATTAAAAGAGGCTTGGAGAGCCTGCTATACTACGTGGTCCTTCACAAGCTCAGGATCACCACCTGGGCCTTAGCCTACTCATTGATGTCAACGTCTACGAAGAACCCATCAGAAGGGGTTGCAGCGTCTTCTGTAAAAATGTAAATTATAGCAACATGAGTACAAAGGTACTCAGCAAGACTTACATCAGATCCTACATACATGCACATTATCAAGAAGGGTTGGTGGAGTTATTGCAGCAAGCCAGCTTTGACTCTTGGCTAGGCTATCCTACGAGACTCCAACCTGAAATGGTTTTGCGCACACGAGTCCACTACTCACCACTTCAATACACTACCGAGGATTCACCTCCGTCTTCCTACGGAAGAGCCATCTTCGGCACTCACACTTATCTTGAGGCTTTTAGCAGTTTCCATTTACTTGTCTATGAACTGTATAGGCAACCAAGTAGTCCTTCACCGCGGACGCGGCTATTCGAATAGATCATGATAACCCTGCAGGGGTGTACTTCTTCATACATGTTTCCACCACTTAGCGTCTGCACACGACATGTGCTCGGCAGACTTCAAGCGAAAGCCGACGTGGGTGTAGACCACGACCTACCTAAACACTCAAGTCTCTAGTCCAGGTTTATCGCCTATTCGGGTTCCATCCATGAGGAGATCCGGCCGGAGTTTCGCTCACATCCCCAAAGGATGTGAACAGGGTTCCCGAGATACCAAACGGGCATCCGGTACACCGTGCCACGTACCTACCGCATCACAGCCCACCCCTACGGTCAGCGCTGTCCACGGCCTCCAGTAGGCTACAAACACCAGAAACTACTTGCAACTCCTGGACAGAGGACAAGGGTGAGTAAGAAGTCGAGCGGGGTCATATTTCAGGGCCCAATGCATGGTGGTAGCTGTATCTTAAATCACACATACAGATCTCAGTGCTTAAGGTCGGCTTCAATAAAACAACCCACCATGTACTCCTACATGGCCTCTCATCGATACCTTTACCAAATCGTGTTCACCACACCATTCTCATTACCGACATAATCATTTCACTCTAGCCCATCACCCAGATGAACCAGACCTGACACGACTCTAAGCATAGCAGGCATAGCAAGGTAGGAACAACACATACATATGGCTCAATCAACTCCTACACATGCTAGTGGGTTTCATCTAGTTACTGTGGCAATGACAGGTCATGCAGAGGAAGTGGGTTCAACTACCGTCGCACACAGCAGTTTGAAACGCGTTGTCTTAATGCAGTAAAAGAGAGCAGGAGCGAGAACATGGGATTGTATCGATATGATCAAATGGTTGGTTGCTTGCCTGATGGTTCGATGCACTGATACGATTCTTCGTTAGGGTAATCACGGTACTCCTCGGAGGCAGAACCTGCCGCAAAGAACACCGATACACAACCATCACCAAACAATGTGCGACAATATGATGCATGCATGAAACATGGCAATATGAGTGTGTTGGGCTAATGCAACTAAAACCAGAAGGGTTTGAACCAATTTGAACCAAAGATTCAAATTTCAAACTCATACATGGCCTTTTAAAGTGTTTTACCTTGTTCTGCATTAAACATCAAGTTAACTTGTTTAATCATGCATGAAAATAGTACAGATGGATAGATTGGATTTTTCTGATCATTTTTCATATATAACTTGTCTGATTTGGAGTTACAGATTAAAAGTTATGAATTTTTGAAGTTTTAAACTATATTCTGGAATTTCCTATATTAGATTAAATCCAAAAAATCAATTACTGCGTCAGCCTGATGTCAGTGTGACATCAGCAGGTCAACGGGACACGGTCCGGGTCAAACCTGACAGTGGTCCCGCGTGTCAGTGTGATTAGTTAAACTAAAATTAATTTAAACTAATCCTAAATAGTTAACAGGGCTGGGCCCCACCTGTCATTGACTCAGGAGAGTCAACCAGGGCCCACCCGTGGTCAAACCCGGGTCGGCTGCACCGGCGTTTAGCCGCCGGCGAGCCCGACGCGGCGGCGGAAGTGATTTTGGCCGTTCCGGCAACCAAACGAGTCGCGGAGGCCATCGGAGTGGAGCTGGGGAGGAGCCGCAGCTCTTGGTGGAGTCCGTTGGGGTCGGGGTGGCCGGAGTTGGCGCCGGCGACGACTTTGGCGGCCACCGGAGTTCGGTCGAAGGCGAACTTGACGCTAGAGGGGTCGGTGAGGTGCGGGGAGTAGCTGGTTAGGTGCTACGTGACGTGGTGAGCATGATGGACACCAGTTTGTGGCCGGAGGGTGACCGGGAGCACGTCGGCGACGAGCTCCGCGGCGGTGGGTGCGGTTGAGCTCCGAGAGGTCGCTACACAGCTCGGGAGCAAGAAAAGAAGGGAGGGGAAGATGGCTAAGCTCACGGGGAGTTTGACGAAGCACTTGGTGCGGCCGGGGACGAGCCGGAGCGACGTCGGCGTTGAAGGGGATCTCCGGCGACGGCGGTTCGGTCGAGGTCGATGCGGTGGGCTCGGGCCTTGCGAGCGCTCGGGGCTCAGCTTGCTCGAAGGAGAGGAGGGTGGCGGAGCTCCTGGACACGGCGGCACGGCGTGGGGTTGACGGAGGGCGTGGCTACGGCGAGGGGGTGGCGGCGATGGCGTCGGCCATGGCGGGGGAGCGCGGGAGAGAGGAGTTGGGGGAGAATGGAGGTGTCCTGGAGGTTCACGGCGCGGCGTGGAGCTCATCCATCCAGCCCCGAGGCGAGGAGGTGAAGCAGGGCGACGGCCAGCTGCGTGGCGCGCGCTGCGGTCGCCGTCGGGCACCTGCCTGCCTGCCTGGCCAGCAAGCAGCTCGCTGGAGCGGCGCTGGGCTGGGCCGGCAGGTGGGCCGGGTGCCAGGTAAGTTTTTTTTCTATTTCTCCTGTTTTCTGTTTTTTAATACTTCTGCAACTTTGTTGAATTATTAAAAATACTTAGGCAACTCCTAAAATCACCAAACTACTCCTGGTCCATAGTTGGATTATTTCCAACATGAAACATTTTAGTTTGGAGATATTTGAGCATTTGAATATTTTATATAATTTTAAATGCCCAAATTAAAATATTTATGATTTAATTCAAAGACCCTAAGATGGCCTAGGAAAATGTGCATCACTTCTGGCAGAGGTTCTGAACCAAGACAAAAATGATGGGCATTTTAGAAGGGCATTTCAGGTTCATTGAAAAAGTTTTTAGTAAACCCTAGTTGGTTTCAGAGGGGGCTGGGGGTTCTGTCATCCCCATTTCAGGTTTCTGATGAAAGAATAAACATGATGCAACACTCTAATGCATGAACTAACTAGGGTGTGACATCTACATTTGTGTGTGATGCTGCCATGGTGGGTGGCCCTGCCTTCAATACGTACTCCATTTATTTTTTTACTGTCAACAAAGCAGGGAGCCGAGTTATTGCCGCTGCGGTGCGAAAGGGTCCGTCTAATCCACAGGAAGTAAACTTTTACATACTGCTGCGACCAGGCCAACGGGAAGTCCCATTCACTTCACTGTGCTGCCGCACTGCACTGCACTGCGCTGCCAGATCTATCTAGGGCTGGTGTGGTTGTACACGCTGCACTGTGGTGAATTTAAGGGCAAGCGTCAAGTTTGTTCGCAGTAATAATAACTAATGGCAGGGACGGCGGCTGCCCTGCCGGTTGGTGGTTCCATTCACCGACGAGCCATCCAGCTGCAGTTTCAGGGCTACTGACCGTTCGAGCGCAAATGGGGCTGGCTGCTGCTTGTTTTTGTTTTCCCTTTTAGGCAAATCTTGTGCTGGCCACTGACCGTTCCAGTAGCAAATGGCGTTCAAATGGCTCGGCCTTGAATACGCCGTCCAGTTGATTGACGGTGTAGCCGCTTGTAGGGAGGGACGGCTACGTTGTACGCATCCGTGGTCCCAGATATACATGATGAGTCTTAACTGATTGTTCACACCGAATGGCCATCAGCATCATCCATGCCGCCAGACCGGACCCCTGAAATGTCACATGAAAATGATCAGTGGAGCAGAATCGAGATTGACTAGACTCATAGAACACGAGCAACTTGACAGTTAGTTTGACAGTAAATCGGTAATGGTGATAAACTTTTCACCCTCTAGAAACGCCAGAACAGTCAATTGGGGTAGAATAAGAACCACAGCTACGACAAGCTTAGCATTGATCTATAGGGGAAAAGTGCTCCCAGTTCTTTTAATGCATTCGTGTTTAGCTCATATCATTTCTTTTTCCAGAAATCCCTTAGAGCAACTACAAAATTTGTTTGTACATTACATGATTATTACACAAGTATGCAATCCGAAATCTCCCAATCAAATAACAAAATAGAACAGCTATGATCTCCTGTCTGACTTGTAATCACTTGTCCTCCTTTCTTCAGCTTCTTTTCTCTTCTGTTGCCTGAAAATAAATAAGAGAACCATGTTACAATTGACACAATGCCCAGAAAGATAACGAAAATGGATATTATTAAAGGTTGCTGCAATCTAACTTGATACAAGTCGTTCTTATAAACTATGCAGTTCAAGTAAACAAATCCACATGTAGTTATCATGGTTCAGACTTGAATAATTGCATGAAACCACAACTTCAGGGTCCCCCTTAGCAATTTACCACAGCTATAGGACTTCTTTTCACAAAACACAACTTCTGAACTAATCTTTATAAGTAAGCCAAACCGGCCAATTCCATGTTGAAAAAGAAAACGTGACATGATGGGTCCACTTGCCAGCGCTTTGTGTGGACGCTCGCATGGGATATGCTGAAGTGGATGTGGGAACCACAGGCCAGCCTCTCATCTCCCTCTTCCCCTTGCGTGCTTCCTCCTATCATCTTTTTATCCAGGCTCTAGCAAAGCCAAGTCGTGACGAAAAACATGGCGAGATGGTGTGCCAGCAGTTGGTGTGGTGTCTGCAGACTAGGTCCCCAGTGTACATGAGCAGCAGGGCATATAACAACAGAAGACAATGAAGTAGGAGCCGCCGAGTAGGTTTGTGCCTCCCGTGCGTATGTGCACGACACAGAGCAGCCCACCTCACAATCAGGCCACCAGCCACCACTACCGACACACGCCACGTCACCACCGTGCCGTTCTGCTCTCTGTTGCAATTGTGCCGCCACCATCATCAGATCGGGCCAGTGGCCGGCTGCAGCAGCAAACTGAACCTGCGGAGGAGGCAGCAAAGGGACTGGTGACGGGAATCGCACTCAAGATCAAGCGGTGGCGCTGGGTCAAGGTTGTCCTCCGTCTCCAAGTCCCACTCTGGAAGCTCGGATGATTGTCGAAAGGAGGCCGGGGAGGTGGGGGTGGTTGTGGATGGGCGGCGGACTCAAACACGGCAGACGTCGGAGAACAAGTCTGTGGCAACAAGACAACAGATCAGAGAAAGAGAGGTGGAGCTCCAAGGAGCTTGAGGTTGGAGGAAAGGAGAGAGGTCATCGAGCAGACAGGGGTTCAGCCTTGGGAGGGAGAGACAAGAGAGAAGGCTTGCAGGTAGGCCCCATGTCACCTATATTATACATGTGGCCATCCATGTTAGCACAGACGGGTGGACTCGTCTTATCAGGTTTGCTCTCAAACATCCGAAAAACAGCTGATTTGGGTCATCCGTGAAAGTTCAGACTACAAGTTGTGGTTCTGTGAAAAAAGGTCCAAAAATTCTGGTGAACTGTAAAAGGAATACCTAAAGTTGTGGTTGTGTAATTAACTCTAAAAAATAAGCTGAACACTTCATTGTCGCATTAATAACGTCCATTAAATAATCTAAGTTATCAATTTCAACATCAAGTTCAACTTGGTACCATTACAATTATGCTACAACAGCGTGGAGTAGGCAGATTTCATCAGGAAAAAAAACGAGCATGTAAAAGCACACAGGGCTACAGCTATGAACATTTCCATTGGTTAATCTGATTGGTAAGCATATTTTGATCAGCAGCAACAGACAAACAAAAATATGACTACATTAAGGAACAACATGTGCTATAACGGATTATGAAGGAAATAATTGTGTGGAAAGAAGAGAACTCACGCAAAAGCAGCATATCCACCAGCAACAGCATTTTCAGAAGTCAAAAGTGTGGCAGATCCACTGGCTGCTGACCGACTGTCAAGTCCACTAGCAGCTGCAGGGTTCTTAGTATCACCATCAACCTAGCCAATAACAGAAAACAGAAGCCGGTCATAAAAATGTTGATTCCAAAAGAAGGTAAATGCATTGAGCGAGGGAATTAGAAACCTTATCCCATTTTGACTTTTTGTTTGGCCTAGCCTCTTTCTGTACAGTATCTGCCGATGCCGGAACCGATACACCAGCTACAGCTGCTGCTGATATGGCGGCTGCAAAACATACAGATGTGAATCAGAAATACAAGATTGCCTGAAGGTAATAGTTTGTCAAAATAAAGCACGCACACTTCTTTTTTCTCGCAAGAAAAAATGCAAATGTACCTGAAATCTTCGCTATTGATGGATTGATTGGAGGTTGTACTCCAGAACTAGTAAAATCAATTCTTGGATTTCTTTTCTTCTCCTGTTCCTTCCTCTCAAGTTCACGCTTCATATCAGCTTCTGTAGACAAATTGGCGGCAGATACAAGATCGTGATTGGACTATACTTCCTTAGATAAGACCAAAGCATAAAGAACTGAAAGATTCACTGTCAACAAATGCGCACACACGGGTTGTAAGGATAGTTCACCAACAACCAGGATAGAAGGTGGTGAGTGGGAGATGTTTGGTAAAAAAAATTGAGACAAATCTGAAACTAAATAAAATGTTAGAAAAGAATACAGACAGAAAACAAATGAAGAACAAGCATGGATTAGCCGTAGTAGAACACCTAGTGTTACGACTAGAATATGCACTTAAGGACTTAGCACTAGGTGTATAACCCATCTGGAAGAGGAGGGAAAGGTATGAGAGTTCAGAAGGACGGGTACAGCGGGAAAAGGTACAAGAGTTCAGAAGGTCGAGGGCAGCATCCGGGAAGAGGGATCTCTTATTGCTTGAGAAACAAAAGATACGAGGCCGACTGGCATTGTCTTCAAACTCAAGGAAAGGACAGCTTGGACTCTTTCCAACGAGTTACTTCTAATCTCCTCTCAAGCCTACCATAACTTGAATCGGCTTGATCCTGGCCTACTCGTAACCTGCCATGACAGCCTCTTCTGAGTTTGTATGCTGCGCTGCAGCACTTTCACCAGGAATGTCTAAATAAACACCAGGAACATCTAAACAAACCGGGACCTGTATAACCAGCTGGTTCTTTTTCCCTGGCTAGCTCAGCGCCCGTGCGTTGGTACGGAACCACCAAAAAGCTGAGTTAGCCAAACAGCATGGGAGATATATGGACAAGCTTATGTGCAATTTGACCGTTGCACGGGTCTAGCGAGAAAAAAGAGAGTGAAATGGAAGGGGGGCACTTGCAGCCTTGCAGGCAGGGATGCGGCGAAGCAACTAAAACAACCATGGGAGTGTTGCAGGATTTGAATTTGAGACATTGATGGATGGGCATAGCAAAGAAGAGATACGGCCATGGTTTTGGGGTTCGGTCTGAAATTTTCAAAATACGGTTCCATAGAACCTGACCCCCTCAGCCTTGGGCAACCGGCTTGTCAACACCATGTCCGGTGGCTCACCAGCCTTCCATAGCATTTCTTGTGCAGCACTGGAGCGGATTGTACCGTCCGCAATGGCATACCGAACATGCGATGAAGGTTAACAGCACCTATCACGTGCATGGTGCAGGGGCATGCTCTCAGAGTACATCCAGACACACCCTTCTCTGCTGAATTGCTCCCAATCAAATAGCTGACTGAGGTTACCCTTACTCATTGCTGGCGTCACATGGATGGGTGTCTGCGCTCAGCAAGAACAGATGGAGTGTAAACGCATGGCGCTTAAGGTGGCACTGGCGGTGGACCTAACTGTCAGCGCTTGACAAAGGCAGCAATCATGAGGGTGGCTGGACAAAAGGAGGTGGTTCCAAGAAGATGCTTAGATGAATGAGGTAGACGTAGGTATGGTTGGAGAGGAAGGTCATGGTGGAAATGGCTCAAAGAGGGTGGTTGGACGAGGTGCAGGGTAGGTTAGGGAAGGGAAGTATGACATGGGAAGGCGGTATTGATCATAAAGTGGTGCACAGACCAGATGGGCACCACTGCAATCACCACTGAAGGGCAACGAGTTGGTGTGGTCAAGCTGCGGAGTTCTTGAGCTCAGTATAGACTGCATGTGGTGTGTTTTGGACTTATAAGCAGGAGTTTGGGTGGTGATTGATCAAATGCCATGATTCATCTTCCTTGTTTTAATTAATAGCTGATTGTTATTTAGTAATACAGGGTTTGATCTAGTTTCTAGTGTGAACTTATGATGATTAACAGGAGAACAAGGGCCCTGTTCTAGGTGAATATTGTTAGAACATGTAGTAGTTTGTTACCAGGGTCCAGGTACAAGCCCAAAAAAAGAAGCAGTGGCTTTGTATTGCTTATGCGACAAGTACATGGGGTTTTCTATATTTTATTATAACATAAAACAACACTCTCCAGACAGTTTCATGATTGTCCACAACTTCTTTGATCTTCAATAGCTAATCAAGCCCGGCATACTTAAAAGTTTGAGGCAACCTGGAGGGTCATGGGATTCGATATGCCTTACAAGCAAGTGCACACACTCAAAAATTAAAAGCAGTGTGCATGTTCCTTTGCAATCACATCCCAGATGGCCGCCATAGTGGAACTTCTATTGATTTCAACTACAATTGCATGACTAAATAGGTACTGGTATTATACATGAACATGGAAGCTACACTCAGATGTTCAATTATCTTTCAAAAAGGAAGGTGTGGCCCAAAAGGATGGCATATTGGATCAAACATGACTATAGCATACCTATCTCATCGTAGTAGTCACTTTTATCGTACCCATATGGATTGAAAACATCTTTACTGAAGCAGGTCCCTATCTGATCAATTTCTTGGTACCGCACAGCATGCTGCAAAAAGTCAGGATTTCTGTAGTCCTTTCTGTTACGCACTTCAGCATTAAAGCTCTTTCCAGACCTTTTGTATCCAAGGAACTTGTTTATCCTTTGCTGCAGGAAAACAGTGGAACATGAGTAACTACAGCCATATTTTCATGTAAAAACAAGAACAAGTGTGAAGGATGTAGACATGCATTCCAAGTGGTATGGGTATCACATGGAAAGCCGTCATACAACGATAAGTTTAAGTTAACATGAAAAAAGACCCACATGAGTGTACAAGAAATAATCAAAAGTTTAAGAAACCATAATCACAAATAGGCTGCCTGAACAATTTGGAGATCTATTTATGCATTAGAGAAAAGAAACGGAAAGTACAAAAAAAAGGTATCTCAGAAATATCGGATTGCAGGAAGTGGTGTGGAAATATATGAAACAGTTGCCAACAGAATATTTTCACCATTTCAGATTACACAAATAATGACATTGCCAGAAGGGAGCTGTATGTTCTACATGAGAAATATGATGAATTTTTTTATGCTGAAAATAGTGTGGGAATAATAATTTGCTCGAAAGATAACCTGTAATGCTGTAGAACATTTTGTAGTCACAGGCGGAGGAAGGAAACGGCTCAATGGATCATCATTCTGAACATTGGTAGAAATATCAGAAGCTTCCTCCACCCTAGCATCTTCAGCTTCTGTTCCCGTTACATCCACTGGAACATCTGCCCTCATTTGGTTCTGCTCAGGTGCATCCAAATGCCGAGAAGTTTCTGATAGGACTTTTGGGGTGAGAATATGAACAGTGCCTGAGAGAACTCTTTCTTCAAGAATCCCTACAAGATAGGATAGAAATATAAAGCAGACTGGATATAAAATCGGAAGTGTAGATGTTGTAATGACTCCACAAAAAGGTGAAGACAGCCAGTAACTAAACTGAAAACACTTCTATAGATGGCAGAAATATGTACGCCAAGTGTTCCAACAATAAAAATAAAATAGAATGCATACTCCCTCCGTTTCTTTTTACTCCGCATATAAGATTTGGTCAAAGTCAAACTACACAAAGTTTGACCAAATTTATATTAAAAAAATATGAACATCTACAATACTAAAACTATATAGTATGAACATACGTTTCATGGTGCATCTGATAATATTGATTTCATATGGTGAATGTTTATATTTTTTTAATATAAAGTTAGTCAAACCCTACAAAGCTTGACTTTGACCAAACCTTATATGCGGACTAAAAAGAAACGGAGTACAATTTAGTGCACATGAAAAGAAGTGTAGCGGCTGTTATGATTTGATTTTGCACAAAAGGCGAACAATACCTTCAACTTAAAACACTTCTACACATGACAGAAATATGTACGTCAAGCAACACCAGAATTGAAATCCAACATAATATCAAGAATTCCCATTTGTTTACTGCATATCTGTTGGTATTAACTGGTGATCACAAATAACAAATTATCAAAGGAGTATATCGATTAAAAATGAAGTCCCTTACAAAAAAATTGTGACACCTCTGATGCAGTCTGCGGTCAAGGGCTCAAAGGGTGTATTTGGTTGTTGCCCAAGGTTGCCCTACCAGAAGATTGACTAGCCACAATTTTAGTTCATGTTTTGATTGCCCATAAATTGGCCAACATTGGCTAAAAAAATGAACTAGAGATGGGAAAGGAGCATTGGCATGCCAAAAAGTTGGCACTCATCCAGATAAAGACCAATATTTTGGTCATGGCCAAAAAAAAATGGTAATAAGGTACTATTTGGTCCCAATCCAAACAAACCCAAAGTGTTCCAAGTTTGAGTTAGCAAGCAAATGTACTCTGGACAAGATTAAAGAATCTACAAATCTGTTGCCGAGGTTATTAGTAGCCAAAAAATCAAATGCTAACACATGGAAATAAGAATATTTGTAGCATTCTCTATTTTCATGGTTCCAGCTATGTCTTTGCTCTTCTTCAGGTCATACTTGTCAACAAATATTCTGTATATAGAATAATAGAAATATTAACCACTTTCAGAACTTCCCAAGTCAAACATTTTGGCACAAGAAAAAAATCTACACGGTTTAGAGAATAATCTATGTCGCACGTCACCTATTTCATCTCATTTTGACACAAGTTAACGTTATCTTGCAGTTTCAGTGATTAGACTACTGTTAGATGATTTAAATACTTGTTTCTATGTTTGAGTTATTTCCATGCATGCAATATGCAGTTGTACTAGAGCATTACAAAAGAAACCATGTATTATAAATATTAGCAATGAAATGAGATATCAGGTACAAATCTGAAGCAGATAGCTCATCAGATATCAGTAGCTTTTATGGACTTTTGCCACAAATATTATAAAGTGTATTTGATATCTGGATCACATGTGTGTCATCTAAGAGTCTAACCCAGAAAGAAATTACACATTCAAAACACAAAAGGCTGTGTACTAACATGACTCTTCAGCGAACAAATTAAGCAAATATAACATAATCAAATGTTACAGTTTTTTATTTTAATTTACTCATCACTAAAGGAAGAGATTTCCATCTTACTGTCTTATGAATAAATGATAATACTCCATTCAGATTTCTAACCACAGCTAGTAGTGCTTCATGTTTTCTAGTGTGCCTTATCCATCTGACATTACTGGTACATTTCACCGTATCTCTAATTCGTGTTTTTCTGATAGCATAAGATGTACACTTGAGGTAACCACAAGCACCAACACACATAGCAATCGGCAACATTGAACAAGTAAAACTCTATGTGTCACCAATTCATCAAACTAACCAGACACATTAATTTGCACTGGAGTGTAGGATTGCATACCGAACATAGCACAGAGTAACAATTATACAGCATGCTTACCCTCAGCATCCTGAGCATCCAAGCCCAAGCCGCCTATGCCACTCATGATCTCCCCGTCCTGCAACCAAACCGCAAGTAACAACGTCATCGTTAATTTAGAAAAGCAATAGAATACAGCAAAGGATTACTAATGACATGCTCCCCAAGCTCTACCTCCTGGTCAGGCGACATTGCCATCTCGTCATGCGCGTAGTCCACTATAGCAAGCGACCCGCGCCGTGGCGGGCGCGGTAGATCGGGCGGCGGGGCGGACAGCGGGGGACGAGATGGGGAGGGGGACGAAACCGCGAAAGGTAGGGGCGAACGGCGCGAGGGCAGCGGCGGAAGCGGCGGAAGCGCCGGCGAGACCTGGGGGCTCGCTAGGGGTTTGCGGCTGGCCTGCTCCTCGGGGAGGGGAGGCGGCGAGTGCTCCGGCGAAGGGTTGGGGTTCGAGTTAGGGTTGGAGCTCTCACCTCCGGTTCGAGGTGACGTGGAGGGGGAGGTTGCCGCAGCGGGCGGCGGCGGGGAAGGAGGTCCGGGCTCGTCGGCGTCCTCTTCGTCGTCATCGTTGTACATGGAGAACAGCGCGGCTATGCCCTCGGTATCTGACGCCATGGCGATGAGGAGGGAGCGGAAGGAAGGGTCGAATTTGGGGGTGGATCGAAGGCTAGGGCGCGGGGAGGACGAAGGCGAAATATTGCAAATCTAGGAATTTGGGAGTTCAACTAGAAGACGATGGTCAGGCGGTGACGGCGCCAGGGCCCACCTTCCAACGTTGCAAATTCCCACGTGAATCTCCGCATAAAATCAATGATATAGAAATTAGATGTGCAATACTTATAACACATCTAGATGTGCTTTAGCAAAACTGAAATATAGTTAGCAACAAGGGCGAGAATGCTTCCGTGGTAAAAATATACCGGGTAATGTCCCCTGTGCCGCTCCCGCGAGCGGCCCGGGCGGAAACCCTAAACAGTAACGCCGCCACCCCCACCCACTCCCTTCCCTCCCTCGCCGCCGCCAGAGACGCCGCCGAGCAAAGCCCGTGCGAGCGTCGGCGGCGGCGGGGTTACCCCTTTCCCTCGAGGCACGCAGGCGACGCGGGACGCCCTTCCTCTTGGTGTCAGGCGACTCGGCGGCGCCGCGCGTTAGGCATGTGTCGGTGTGGGCCGGCGGTGTTGGATGGTGCGGGGCGCTGCCTTGGGATGGCGCGGCCTGGCGTGGTCCGGCCGGATCTGGCGCCCACGGTCGGCGGTGCTCGGAGGTGTTGGTGTCGGGCGCTGCTCGGGAGAGGAGTGGCCTGGCGCGGGCCGGCGGGACGGTGGTGAGGCGCTTTCCTCCGGGAGCTGGCGGAGCAGGGGCTGGTGGTGCCGCGGTGACTCGCTCCCGGCAGTGGAAGGCTAGCGGTGGGTCGGTGGTGCTGGCTGGCGGCGCCCGGAGCGCGGATCTGGGGATCTCGGCCCGGATCTGGTGCTTCTTCGGCGCGCCCTTGGGGTGCTCACGGCAGGGAGTGCGGCGGTTGTCTCTGGATCGTTGTGTGGAGCATAGCAGGATGGAGGGGGTAGGTGGTGCACTGCCACTGGCGGTGGCGGCGGTGCAAGCGCAGGCATGGCGGCGGCGGCGGTGCGAGGCCTTGCTAGGTAGGGTCTTGGCGGGCAGCGGGCGTTCGGCTGCTGCCGTGTGAGGCGTGCGGTGATGCCTCGGCGGTGTGGGTGCCGGAGTGCAGTCGGAGGTGCGGGTTGGTTCCATTCTGGTGGCAGACCCCTAGCGCAGGTGAAGGCCACCGTGGCGGAGCTAGCTTTGCACCGCTCGGTGGTTGATGCGGCTCCTAGTCGATGTTAAAGGTGATGGCTTTGGCTGTGTTCCCTCGGCAGTGAGGGGGCTTCGATGGCAAGTTGTTGCAGTGACGGCGGTGTGCGACATCTGTTCGGGACTGGCTTGGATCTTGGAGACGTGGAGATGTGCAGTGCTACGGATGAAAATCATGTTCGGTTGTGGCCGGACCGGTGTTGATGGCATCTGCGGGTGTCATTCACCTTCCTAGAGGCTTCGCCGAGTGCAACACCATCTTCCTCGCGACCTCGTATTGGCAGCTGTCTTCGGGGCGAAAGCCTTGATTCGTAGGATCAGCATGATGGCAACGTCCTTAAGGTTGTTACTCTGTTGGAAGCATTGTGCTGGGAGACTCGAGGTCCCGTGATGTGCTCCTCCGATGTTTACCGCTGCCCAGATCTTTCTCCTCCGACGCCATGTACGGTCGTCGCTGGCTAATCCAAGGAAGCTGGAGTTGTTGTTCTTCGGAGGTCTTTAGTGTCGGCCGAGACGCAACGAAGGGCTCAGTGTTGGGTAGGCTTTTTGTGTCGTAGTTGTTGTGGTTGTGTTTGGTTGTCCTTGTATGAACCGGGTGTGGAGTTGGTCGCCTTCGTTGTTCGTAGCGAGCTGTTGACATTGTTGTATGTCTTATTTATCTTCTTCTATAAAGCTAAATTGTGTACCTTCGAAAAAAATTGAAATAGTTCATCCCCTCTATCTAACTCTCTTGATATGTAGCCAAAAATAAAAGTTCTCAAAATGCTCTCAAATTTTAATATGATTTTTTCTGAATATTTCTGAATTTTTGATGCAAATAACATCAGAGGGGGTGCACCAGGTGGGCACAATGCTCCATCCTCATGGGGAATATTTCACATAGTCGTTTACTAAATAATTTAAATTCCATCCTCGTGGGTCTAGAGTGTCATTTAAACTGTATGACAATCCATTTACTTTACCCTTATAGACATTTTCTAACTACTACAAAATTCCATTTTGGTGTTCATTGGACGAACCACCAAGATCTGATAATAAGATATTCTTGACTAGCATTTGCTATGGTGCGACTAGAGGAGTGGCGCAAGGTAGAATAAAGAGTATTCATTTTCCCTCAATTCAATACTTTGCACTATTTAATGAAAAAAATGCACCGTAAGCAAACAAGATTGTAGTATACTTTGTTCTCCTAACTTGAACCTCATACGCACCGCTCTCACGGGTGACAAATGTTATAACCTTGGAGCGATTGTTGCATGCAGGTTGCAACACAACGCTGGTAGTGGATATTTTATGGTGGAATTTGAGCCGCTCGTTTTGGCTAGGGAGTGAAGGAAATATGCCCTAGAGACAATAATAAAGTTGTTATTTATATTTCCTTATATCATGATAAATGTTTATTATTCATACTAGAATTGTATTAACTGGAAACTTGGTACATGTGTGGATACATAGACAAAACACCGTGTCTCTAGTAAGCCTCTACTAGACTAGCTCGTTGATTAGAGATGGTTAAGTTTCCTAACCATAGACATGTGTTGTCATTCGATTAACGGGATCACATCATTAGGAGAATAATGTGATGGACAAGATCCATCCGTTAGCTTAGCATAATAATCGTTAAGTTTTATTGCTATTGCTTTCTTCATGATGTATACATATTCCTTTGACTATAAGATTATGCAACTCCCAGATACCAGAGGAATATCTTATGTGCTATCAAACGTCACAACGTAACTGGATGATTATAAAGATGCTCTACAGGTATCTCCGAAGGTGTTTGTTGGGTTGGCATAGGTCGAGATTAGAATTTGTCACTCTGAGTATCGGAGAGGTATCTCTGGGCTCTCTCGGTAATGCACATCATAATAAGCCTTGCAAGCAATGTGACTAATGAGTTAGTTACAGGATGCATTACGGAACAAGTAAGAGACTTGCCGGTAACGAGATTGAACTAGGTATGGAGATACCGACGATCGAATCTCGGGCAAGTAACATATCGATGACAAAGGGAATAATGTATGTTGTCATAACGGTTCGACCGATAAAGATCTTCGTAGAATATGTGGGAACCAATATGATCATCCTGGTTCCGCTATTGGTTATTGACTGGAGAGGTGTCTCGGTCATGTCTACATAGTTCTCGAACCCGTAGGGTCCGCACGTTTAATGTTCGATGACGATTTGTATTATATGAGTTATGTGATTTGGTGACCGAATATTGTTTGGAGTCCCAGATGAGATCACAGACATGACGAGGAGTCCCGAAATGGTCGAGAGGTAAAGATTCATACATAGGACGATAGTACTTGGACACAGGAAGTATTACAGGGGTACCGGGTACGTATTGGGTCACCGGAAAGGGTTCCGGGCACCCCCCGGCAAAGATATGGGCCTTATTGGGCCTAGGGCGGGACAGAACAGCCCCTAGTGGGATGATGCGCCCCCATATGAGCCGGCCTAAGTGGAGAAAGAAAAGGGGAGGAGGAAAGGAAATAGAGGGAATAGGATCCCCCCTTCCTTTCCCTCTCCCCTCTTTCCTTCCCTCCTTCGAAGAAAAGGAAAGGGGGGCCGAATTGGAGAAGGCCCCCAAATAGGATTCCTCCTATTTGGGGTGCCCCATGGCTGTCAGCCTCCCCCTCCCACCTATATATATATGGGGAGGGGCGCCTAGAACACACAACAAACATTGTTAGCCGTGTGCGGCGCCCCCCTCCACAGTTATGCCTCCTGTCATATTCACGTATATAGTGCTTAGGCGAAGCCCTGCGCAGATCACTTCATCATCACCGTCACCACGCCATCATGCTGACGGAACCCTACCTCGACACTTTACTGGATCAAGAGTTCAAGGGACGTCATCGAGCTGAACATGTGCAGAACTCGGAGGTGCCGTACATTCGGTACTTGATCGGTTGGAACGAGAAGAAATTCGACTACATCAACTGCGTTGTCAAACACTTCCGCTTTCGGTCTACGAGGGTACATGGACACACTCTCCCCCTCATTGCTATGCATCTCCTAGATAGATTTTGCGTGAGCGTAGGAATTTTTTTGAAATTGCATGCTACGTTCCCCAACAGGGAGCTGGGTGTTTCCCCTTGGCCTTATGACCCTATCCTACCCACGCAGAACTTAGACTTTGATGCCATAAAACGCAATAAGTTCCTTAGTGGTGAAGCCCATAATTATACATATAACCTGTTGTTTAATAAAAAGTCCGTTGTGGACACCTTTTTGCCTGCACCTGCTCTTTTTGATGTTCACGGCAAGGGAAGATATTTATGTTCTTGAGAGCGAGGCCCGAGCGCATAACGCAGAGGTTGTCGCTGCTCGCCGGGATGAGGTGGCTGCACCTAGAGCCTCCGTGAGCTATCACTCTGACTACTATGCAGGCTACTGATGGTGATTAACAAGCTAGGCCAAAAGACTAAGCTTGGGGGAGTACGTATTTCCACCGACATTACATTCATTGTTCACGCATCTCATTCCAGTTGTCGGTGTCCACACTTTTTCATTGTATTATCCATGCTAGATTTATTTTCCCGTTTTCTTCTCGTGTGTTTGAAAAACTTTGGGAAAATACAAAAGTATTTCATGCTTCTTTTTAGCTCTTCTTTCTAGCTTAGTTAGTTGTAGAATTGAAAAGAAAACCCAAAAAGATTTCCTTATTCTTCTTTTGCTTGTTGGGAGCTCTCCCGTATAAATAGTTTTTATTGTTTTCATTTTTTTCCTTTTTTTTAATTGCTTTCATTCAGAAGAAAAAACTAAAAACTCCAAAAATATTTCAGTGTGTTTGCCTGAAT